CAGGACGCCCTGGTCCTGGAGGGCGTCAGGATCGGCCCCGAAGCCGACCCGGCGCCCAGGCTGGGCGGACGCCTGCTGCTGGTGAGCGCCGCCGAGCCATCTGGTCGCGGAGCCAGATTCCCCTCCCAACCCCCTGTATAGACCTCGCAACAGGAACTGGCCTTATTCCCGGACCAAACCCGGGCAGTCCTGCACCCGTTCCCAGGCTGCCCAGGCCCCCTAGAATTCAGGTTTCCACAGCCCGAGATCCACCTGCCCCACCAACTCCCTCTTCCTCTCCCCGCCTCCCTCTGCTCATGGCCCCTTGCCATACAGATGGACATCGTGGACGCTGAGCAGGAGGTGCCGGTAGAAGGCTGGATCGCAGTGGCATACGTGGGCAAGGAGCAGGCGGCCCAGTTCCACCAGGAGAATCAGGGCAGTGGCCCGCAGGCCTACCCTAAGGCCCTGGTCCAGCAGGTGCAGGGGGCGGATGTGCGGAGGGGGCTGGAGGAGAGGGTTCCCACCGCAGCATCTGGTAGAGCCAGGTCAGGGGACCCAGGTGGGAGAATGAGTCAGTGTGGTGCTGATGTGGGGAGGAGTGAGGGGTGGCCAGAGAGAGGTCAGGAAACTACCAGGCTTTCAGAGTATGGAACATGGAGTTCGTCTTGGGACCAAGGAGTACCCATAGGGCATGGGGAGGGAGGGCAGGAGGAATGAGTTTCTGCCCTTGACCTCAAGGGTCATCTAGCTAGCCTGTCAGGTGCAGAGCCAGGCGCCAGGAGCAGGCCGGCTCAGGGGGTGGGGGGTGCACAGTAGCCTCTGCCCGCCTTGTCCTGCAGATGCAGCGGGCCCTCTTCCTGGGAGCCTCTGCCCTGCTCCTCCTCATCCTGAACCACAACGTGGTCCGAGAGGTAAGCCAGAGCAGGCTGTGGGGTGAGGCCAGGGGACGGGAGCCCAAGGCTTGCTGACCTCGCTGTCCCCTGCAGCTGGACATATCCCAGCTTCTGCTCAGGCCAGTGATCGTCCTCCATTACTCCTCCAATGTCACCAAGCTGTTGGAGGCCCTGCTGCAGTGAGTGGGGTTTGGGCTCCAGAGGACTGGGCTTGGGGGCCTGGGTGCTGGAGTCCCCGGCCCTCCCGTGGGCTCTGAGAATCTCAAGACCAGGGCCTTACCTGTTAGCTTTAAGACTATGCTTTCCGGGTAAGGGGCAGGCAAGGAGGTGCCAGGGCCCAGGGTGAAGAGGTGGCTATGGCAGAGGGGCCTGGCCCCAGCAATGCGAATGCTGCATACCTGGTTGGCAGGCTCTTCCCTGAGTTTGTGGGCTCCCCTGGCCTGGCTGGTATGAGAACCGAGATGGCCTAACGAGCCAGGAAAGGCCACAGTTGAAGGCTTGCGAGGGTGCCATTCTGGGGTATCCTTTTCCCACTGGGCTGCGGTTGCTAGTCTGGGCCTCCCTTCCCAAGAGCCCTTCTGTCTGGCTCCTCTGTGACTTGTCTCCCCAGGAGGACCCAGGTCACAGCTGAGATCACCAGCGGGGAGTCCCTGTCAGCCAACATTGAGTGGAAGCTGACCCTGTGGACCACCTGTGGCCTCTCCAAAGACGGCTACGGAGGATGGCAGGACTTGGTTTGCCTGGGAGGCAGTCGTGCCCAGGAGCAGGTGAGTGCCCGCGCGCTGTAGAGGCCCAGGCAGAGGAGGCTCAAGCGGGGGCCGCATGCATGGCTTTGTCTGAAAATTCTGTGGCCTCTCCTGCCTTGGTGGCAAGGACAGCCTGGCCCACTTCACAGGGCTGTTAGGTTCAGTGTCAGGTTGCAGGTGGGCACTCAGCCCAGCACCTGGCCCAGGATCACGTGCCATCACGTTAGCTACAGTCGTGTTCTCTCCCTCAGAAGCCTTCTTTGGCTCCCTGTTGCCTGCAGAATAAAGTTCAGACTCCTTACCTGGCTTTCAGAGCTCTTCTGCTCACTCACCTACCCCACTTGCCTTCTGTCTGCATCCTGGCCACTCTGTGCTGCTGTCCACTGTCCCCACACGCCCTGCTCTCCTGCTGCTGGGCCATGTCCGTGTGTGGTCATAGGCATGGACACCTTTCTTCTCCATCTTTATGTACCTTGGTCTTTTCAGGACCGTCACAGCTCACCTCCCTGCCTCCCTTGGAAGGAGACTTTCAACTCGGAGTCCCCTTGTCCTTCATCTAAGTCCTAAAAGCGCTCACTCAGGCCTTTCCCAGGACTCATAGGGCTGCCCGTCCTGTTGGGGAGTGTGATTTGTTTCCTGGTGGCCAGGGCTGTTTTGTCTCTGATTTCCCAATGCTTGGCCTCAAGGAGGTTCAAAAGTCTTCTGTCCATGAGACCCGCAGATAGTGTAATGGCTATGTCGCTGGGCTCCCGTGTAGTTGACTGTGGTTCGAGTCCCATACCTGGTGGCTTAAACTCACGCCAGGTGCCCAAGATCCCTAGAGGAGAATGGAGGAGAAGGGATTGCAGCATGGCCATCCCCCCCGGGGGGTGATCACTTTCTGTCTCTGTCTCTGTCTTTCTGGTGAGCACATGTGTCCTATAGCAAAAACCTCTCCAAAAACAAAAAAAGAAAAAAGTCTTCCGTCCAGCCTTCCTGGAGTCCCTGCTCTGTGTGGGGCACTCCCAGTGTGCAGGCCCAGGAGGTGTCGGCTGACATGTGCCACATGGGGCAACTTCCTCGGGTTCAAATCCTGACTCTGAAACCTTAGCTGAGTGATCCTAGGCTGAGTGTTTAACTTCTCTGCTCTTGTTCCTCACCGGTGAACAGGGACAGTGCACTGTACATCCCCCTCCTGGGCAGCCCACACAGACCTATGGACAGGACAGGCCTTTGGTGGGAAGCCGGGAGGTGACAGCAGAAAGGTTGGAGGTAGAGCAGGGAGAGGGGCTGGAGAGAGCCCCGAGAGGTGGGGATGGTATTCGCAGGGTGGTCTGGTGAGTCTGGAGGACAGAGATGAACAGGCTGGGCCGTTGCTTGCCAGCGTTGGGGTGGGCCCATACGTGTGTCGGAAGGCCATGGTAGTTGAGGTGTTTGACAGGTACCTGGGGCAGGTCTCCAGGCTGGCTGGCCTGATGGGCATCAGGTCCTCAGCCCTGACCCAGAGCCATTGCCAGCCCTCCAGCCTCTGGGCATCCGGAGCTGCCACAGCGACATTTCAGGAAGGTCTGCTGAACTATGTCTTAACTGCCTCCCCTCCTACCTCACCTGGGGAGTTGGTCTCTGAGCTGCAGTGGAGCGTAGGGTGACCACACCCTCAGCCACCCAGCACCCATCTCTGGCTGCTCCAAAGCTAGGTCCCCTAGAGCAGGCTGTGCCCTGGAGGGCTTCCACTGTGCTGATCTCAGTGAGTCCTGCCGCGGGCTAGCCTGGGCTCAGGGGTCCCAGAAGAGATCTCTAGAGATAATGCTGTCACTGCTGGGTGAACACTGAGCGGGTGGTGGGCACAGGGCCTAGCAAGAGCTGGAGGGAGCTTCCTGGAACAGGTACCAGCACCCCACTGCACCTGGAGGACAGAGGGGAGCTGGGGCTCACAGGTAATTCTCTGTGGTGACCCCTAGAGTGCTAGGGACAAAAGCAGCATCTTCTGGTCTAGCAGCCCGGGGCCTCATCTTGAGTGGTGGCCTCCTAACATCCAGGCTCTTCTTGGCCCCTGTCCTCACATGCTGGTGGTTGAACTTCAGTGTTGGTCGGGACACCTGGATGGCAGGGTGCTACTGCGAATGCAGAGCTTTCAGAGAGACGCGTTCACCCACCACCTTGGCCTGCCGCCATGAGACGTGAGACAGTGCACCTGTGGTGAGGGTGCCGCTAGGCTTACTCTGCCACGTCAGCCGTGGAGCTGGCTATGCAGCTGTCAACGCAGTCACGTGCATGTGGTGAGAGTTAGTTAGACCAAGGTCAGTGGGGTTCCCTGGTAACTCTGAGGACCCCCTCCCCCGCCAAGGGGCCCCAGGTCTGCAGATTTTAAACGTCTCCCCAGTAGTGTTTCCTTTCCCAGATATACTCGTTACACAGTGTCTAGGTGAGGCCCTGGGGCTACAGTGGTGACCGCGTCAGGTGTGGCTCCCTCCAGCCGCAGGAGCCCATGGACCATGGAGCAGCAGAGCGCGGCGTGGGTGGTTAGAGGGAAGTGACAAGGCTGGGCAGGGGGAAGCCAGTGGGGAGCACTGGCCCAGCTGTGGTGGGTGGCGGTCAGCATGGTTCCCAGAGCAAGGGGTTTCCAGAGGCAATGGCCCAGGGCAGCGGTGTGGGAGGAGAGTTGTCGGGATGGGGGCAGTATATGGAGAGATGGGAAAAGCATGGGACACAGCGAAGAGGGGGACGGTGGGTGGAGGGGGAGGGCACTGCAGGGAATAGCAAGCAGGGCCACCTTGGGGTCAGGTTTGCAGGTGGGATCCCTCCAGCTGTGAGTGGGCAAGGCGGGAGCTACAGAGGCTTGTAGGATTGAGCACAGGAGACCCCCTGGGAGAGCAAAGCAGCAGGGCTTATGAGGTGGGTGGGGCTGAGGGACAGAGGTGAGCGGGTGCTGGCTGGCTGGTGGACGCAGATCAGGAGGAAGTGCATATTGGGGGTGGAGGGTGCGCCTGGGTGGGGAGTCTGGGAGACTGCCAGGTAGACACTTCCACGATGGCAGAACACCAGGTTTGCTGCTCAGGAGAGGCCTGGTCTGGGGACAGGTGTGGCCTCCTCTGCAGCTGGACAGGGAGATGTGTAGGGTTGAGTGGTGGCAGCCGGGGCAGAGCAGAGGGGCACTCAGGCTTCTGGGAGCAGCGGAGGCTGCAGAGAAGCAGGCGCTGGGTGCACCTCACCTGCCTCGGCCCCAGCGTCTCTGACGCCTGTTTTCCCCCCAAAGCCACTGCAGCAGCTGTGGAACGCCATCCTGCTGGTGGCCATGCTTCTGTGCACAGGCCTCGTGGTCCAGGCCCAGCGGCAGGCATCGCGGCAGAATCAGAGGGAGCCCGGAGGCCAGGTGGGAGCTCGGCTGAGGGAGCCCCAGCGCCCCCGCCCACGGGCCTGCGAGACTGCCCGTCTTCTCCCCACAGGTGGACCTGTTTAAGCGCCGCGTGGTACAGAGACTGGCATCCCTGAAGACCCGGCGCTGTCGCCTGAGCAGGGCGGCACAGGGCCTCCCAGAGCCTGGCGCTGAGACCTGTGCTGTGTGTCTGGACTACTTCTGTAACAAGCAGGTTAGCGCCTGGGCACGGACCACCTGCTCACCTGTGACGTCCCACACGCCACTCTGAAAGGCCTCGGACACCCCGCAGGCTCGTCCCCTTCCAGGGCTACAGAAAGCAGAGCTGGGAGAGGAGGGGGCTAGGCCTCAGGGCAGGGGACCAAGCACCCACACCCCCTCCCCACCTGCAGTGGCTCCGGGTACTGCCCTGTAAGCACGAGTTCCACAGAGACTGCGTGGACCCCTGGCTGATGCTCCAGCAGACCTGCCCGCTGTGCAAGTTCAACGTCCTGGGTGAGCAGCAGGGTGGGGCCCGGGCCGGCTCCCCCGGTTTCTTCTGATGCCTGGTTCCCTGTGCTTCTTCCTCCTCCCCTGCAGGAAACCGCTATTCAGATGATTAGCTGCCCCAGCTGGGACTCTGCACGTTGGGATAGACCCTCCCCCATGCACCCTGGCCCTCAGCCTGGGTACCCAGGACAGGACTGGACAGGACAGCAGGCCCGTGGTGGGAGAAAGGACAAGGGGCCTTTGGCCCCAGGCTGAGGGTGCAGTGCCCAGACCTGCCTGTTGAGGGCGCTTTGGGGCCCTTCTCTGTACTCCTGGGATGTCGGTATCTGAGCACCACAAGCAGCTCTGAGGACCCTGGGGAGAGAGAATGTAGACCCCAAAAGGACTCTGCAGCCTGTCAGGACAGCCCTGGGGCAGCTGAGGTTGCAGTGGCTGGGTTTTGTGCTTATTTATTGGGGGGGTGCATTGAGGGAAGAAGTGTCAGCCTTGGGGCACCTTGGCCTGACCATCTTTCAGGATACCACTTGGTCAAGGCTATGAGGTTAAGCCCAGAGGCCTTTCTGCTGCCTGCTGCCCGTGGTCCTTGGGCGCTGGGAGCTGCGGGTGGCCCTGCCCATCTAGCTGGGCTCCTTCCCTGGCTGGCTGGGACCAGAGGCCTTAGAAACCATTCAGCCCTGTACTCCATGGTTGGGGCTGGTCACTGACCAGGATACTTGAAACCACAGGTAAATGTGGTGCATCGTCCAGGGGCATCCATTTTTTAAAAAGAGTTGGGTTAGGGAAGGTTTAATAGTAAAATAAACATGAATATATTTTAATAGAAGATGTAAACATTTGTGTGGATTTTTAAAAAAAAAATTATTTCCATTTGTTATTATTTTTAAATCTGACCAGAGAAACAGAGAGAAAAGAAGAAAGCAAGCCACCAGGTCTAGGATTCGAACCACAGTCAATCACATGGGAATCCAGTGCCTTAACCACCATGCCTCCTGCTGGTTCCCTTATGTGGATGTTTTAACATGAAAAAAAAGGGCCAGCCCACAGAGTGGTGGTGAAGGCAGTTAGACCCACGGAACCCAGTCTATGGCTACTCTAATCTAAGCAGGTGGCTGGATGTGCAGTTGAGTCCCAAACCTAACAGCTTGAGAAACATGCCGGGCATGTGGGCATGGGTGCCCAAAACCCATAAAGGAAGGAGAGGGAGGGAAGGCCTGTAACGTGACCACACCCCACAGGGAGTGTGCTCACCCCGCCCCCCACCTGGAGTGCACACACTCTCTGGCAAAACTGGGGTGGGGGGGCAGAGCTGCTTCCTTGGCTGTAGTGACTGTACTAGGTGGAATTCTAAGACGGCCCCCCAGATCACTCCCCATCCTTAACCACCCTCGGAGAGATTTCACTCTTATCAGTCAGGTTAGGTCACAGATGTGGACTTCAAAAAGTTCACGAAAAATGCATATTATGAAAAAACTATTCACAGATTGCAGTATTTTTTGCACCCAAATAAACTTATACTTTAATTCTATTTTTTCACAAACTTTTTTATTTTGAGATTTTGCTATAAGATGTGTGTGCTCATTGGAGAGAGAGAGAGAGGGAGAGAGAGAGAGAGAGAGAGAGAGAGAGGGAGAGGGAGAGGGAGAGAGGGAGAGAGGGAGAAAGTGAGAAAGCACCCCCAAGGGAATGGCCCTGCTGCAACCCCTTCTCCGTTCTCCTATTGGGATCTTGGGCACATACGCACTTGGTATTTTTCAAGCTGCAGGATCTGGGACTTGAACCGCACTATCCACCACACCCCAACTCTGTACGGCAAGTATTCCAGGGGCCCTGACCTAACCACACGAGCCCATTCGAAGCAGGGTTTTTCCCCCTCTGGCCAGCGGAAGAATGGAAGTCAGAGGTATGAAGGCTGAAGGGGCTTGATGCTCGAAAAAGTCTCCGTGGCAGACTTGAAGACAGAGGGGACACACGGCTGGGAAGGCAGAAATGGGACCTCAGTCCTCGGCAGCTGCGAGGATCGGAGTCCTACCAGCAGGATGAGCTTGCAAGGGGGTTGTTCCCAGAGCCGTGAGGAAGGCAGACGGCCTTGTGGGCACTTGACTTCAGCCCTCTCAGACCCTAAGCAGGGAGCCGGCCACACAGGGACTGGACTTCTGAGTGGACACCGAGCCACGGAGGCCTAAGAGGGCTGTGAGGGGTCCTTGCTGGATGAGGACACATGCCTCCTGCTCAGGGGGCGCCTGAGGGCTGGCTCTGCCCCCAGGCTCCTCAGAAGCAAGTCAGGCAGACCCTGGCCGTGCCAGCTCACCTCCACGTGTGGCCCCTCTTGACCCTTCTCTGTAAACTGAGGCACTCTTACCTAGTGGCCTCCTAGCCAGGGGCAGATGCTGAGGGAAGCTGGGAGTGTCGGACCCTGCCAGGTCTTCAGAACGGTCTTGGATTCTGTCCTTGACAGACACAGTGACTCGGAAGAGGTGGCCTCGTGAGGAAACAGGACTGCTGTGTACCTGGTGTGGCCAGGGGTATCGGTGCCCGGCCACGTGGCATCCTGGGCTGATTGGCTGGAAGGGCCTGGACTAGCCCTGTGTCCAGCTGTCTGTCTGGACGGTGTCTTGCCCTGTCTTCTGTGGCCTCCTGGGGCTCTGGCCACCAGGATTTAGAAATACCTTTCATGCCTCTCATTGCTTCTCCAAAGTCAGGAGTTCCTTATTCTCTGGTCCTTAGTGTCCCCGGGTGCAGACGGGGGTGGTGGTGGGGTATGGTGAAGGCTCTGCTCCCCTCTGCCTGCCTCCACAGGCCCAGAGCTGGGATGTAAGCCCACTCCTTGTTCGCTGTCCTCACTGGCCCTTCATCTGTACACCTCCACCCTGACCCACCTTCCCCTCCTAACTGCTGCCAGTCACCGAGTCTAGGTTTTTCCCTGGCTCTTGCTATGGCCCTTCCTTGGCCTGGTTGCTAGAACCTTCTTTCTGCCTTCCATGTGCCCTCTATGTATACTGCCCGGAGGGAGCAGGAGCACCCACCCGGAGTCCAGGGCCCACAATACCAGGACCCTGCTGGCTGACGACCCACATGGCTCGGTAACCCCAGCCAGGACAGGGAGGGGAAGGGCTTTTCTCCCAGCTCAGCCATGCTGTGAGGTCAAGATCACTGTGGGCAGGTGGCTGGCGCTTTATTATACTGGCCACCTGCCCGCCAGTCCCAACCCTGTGCCGACTACATCGGCCGCTCCTGGGGCTGGTGTG